AGTAACCAACTATTTGAGATTTCCATAATTATCAATTGCCTTTGGACCTGATACCTTTCATTAGAACAACTTCATTCTCATTTTTTACCAGACATTCTAATTTTGAAAAGTTAACTAACAAACCTGGGTCACACTGTTGACTAATTCCAATGAGATTAGCAGTCAATGCTTTGACATATAGCACATTGTCTAACTTGGGACATCCATTACACATATGCTTTCAACCACCTTTGATTTCTCCATTAAAACCATCACCAAATCTAACAAATCCTATGGGATATGTCTTGACATCCACCAATATTTTCTAGACCTCTTTCATATGTATAGAGCATCCATTGTCAAAGTACCAGTCTTAACTTGCTAATTTTCTCAAAGAAGTATGTGTTATAAAGTTAATATCCCTATTTTCAACACTCCTCTTTTTGCTCACTATATTAGCCTTAGAACAAACTGAAGTTCTTTGATCACTATGCAATTTGAAACAGAAAGGATTTAGTTGACCAGAATCACCACAGTAGTGACACTTCCTAGATGACTGAGGTTGGTTTGAAGATTTGTCACATTTTCCAAGATGTTGTAACATGAGTTTCGACATGATGATCTTTTTCTTCTTTTCAGCTCGAAAAACCTTATCCTCTGACATTGTCCTCAGTTTATTATTAGATTCATAATGAACTTTGGTATCTCCATTCTCTTTTACCATATTTATAGAATAAATTAAGTTACAATCTTGGAATTTGGGCGTGTTACCTTAGTTTATAGATGAGAAGCAAAACAAATGAGTTGTTTTCTCTCATTCTTCAAATCAGCAATGATCTTCTTGTGCTCTTCCTCTTTCTTGAGGAGTTCTTCACACCTATCATAAGTATCCTTGTAAGACACATCCAGGTCTTCATAAATATAAATCTCATCATACTCATCACAAGCTTCAACTTCATCTTCCTATTTTCCAGATAGAGCCAACACAAGTTTGGCAGTCTAAGAAATATCCTCATCTTCTGACTTATCATCATCACACGAAGATGTGGTGAAACCCTTATGTTGTTTCCTTAGGAAGTTGGGACATTCAGGTGTAATATGACTATATCCTTCACATTTAAAACATTGTTTGTCTCTATTTTGTCCTTGCTTCTCTTCTTATCTTGTTTTCTTCTGAGAATCAAGACTATTACAAATGTCATATGAGATATTCTTGACATCTGGTCTTCCTCTCCTATCCAATCTTTTTAATACTTTTGTTGAATTGCTTTCTAAGAAGAAAGTGGTATTAGATAGATCCTCATTAGTGTCCAGCTCATCTTGACCTTTATCAACTTCAGCATTGGATACAAAAGTTATGCTTTTGTTCTTTTTCTTAGCCTTGTCACAAATAGCTAATTCATAAGTTTGAAGTGACCCAATAAGTTCATTAACTCTCATGTTGTTGATTTCCTGAGCTACTTTAATTGTTGTGACCTTCATGTCAAATATCCTAGGCAAGGACCTAAGAATATTTCTTACCAGCTTGGCTTTTGACCTCTTCTCTCCCAATGCACATGATACACTAGCAATTTAAAGAATCTTCATTTGATATTCTTGAATTGTCTCATCATCATTTATATTTAAGTTCTCAAATTTGGAAGTGAAAAGTTGAAGTCTTGAGATTTTCACCTTAGAGGTACCTTCATATGTTGTCTTGAAAATTTCCCAAGCCTTCTTGGCCACAATACACATATTAATCAGCCTGAAAACATGTTTGTCTACTCCGTTGAATAGAGCATTTAAAGCCTTGGAATTTCCAATAGCTTCTTTATCATCATCTTCATTCCACTCTTCTTCAGGTTTTATTGCGTCAATTTCAACTTATTTTCCCTCTTTGTCAGTGATCTTCATAACAAGATGCTTTCATCCTTTCAAGACAGTCTTCCAAGCTTTGTTGTCTAGAGCTTTTAGAAAAACTATCATTCAAACTTTCCACCAGCCATAATTAGAACCATCCAACATGGGTGGTCTATTGTTAAACCCTCCTTCATTCTCTATAGTTCTAAAAAATATATACCCCTAAATCTCACCTAGTAATCAGAATCAGGTGCCTTCTCTTGATGCCAATTGGAATTTTTGCACGCATAATATATCAGAAGTCAATAATGATGTATGAAAAACACATAATGTAAAGACAAATGTTATAACATCTGCTGAAAGAATAGCAACACTTTACAACATATGTTGGAAAAATTTTCAAATGAGGCACCTGCAGAACCTACTTGTACCTACTGGTCCAGATTTTATGACATCGTCTTCAACATCCGGTAGTAAAACTCATAACATCTGGAACTTCTATGACAATTGATAAAGATGGTGCACCATCTTACCAACATCAACATAGAACCATTCTTAGCCAAAATTTAGCCAACTATAAAAACATGGAACTACCAAAATTAACAACTTGAGGAATTAAAAAAATCATTGTATATAGTTCAAATAATGTAAAGAAGGATGAACAATCTTGTAAATTTGTATGTGAAACATGTGAAATTTGGCAACAAGAGGTGAGTACTCTTGAAACCAAATTGAACAAAATATATCATCCCATTGATACTATTGTTATTAGATGTTCAAAGGTTGAAAAGCCTCATAAAAGCTATAACTTGACTAAGTAGAAGTCTAAAAGCAAAAGTGATTCTCATCGTAGGCTATTTTGACACTAGTGTTGCAAAAAAGAATTACGCACCAAGTGTTCGACAAATTGAATTTGTTTGCATTTTTAAATATTGTCATTGTAAATAGAATTTCTAATAAATTTATATAAATGATTGATAACGTGTTACTTGATTAAAGTTCTATTAATTTAGTTTATCACATTCATTCCATTTGAAATTTATAATATAGTGGCATATCTGAGTTTCCAATAACTATTCGTATAGACGACTTTTTGAAAAGCTTTCGCTTAAACTCTTTGTTAAATAATCTTTTCAAAACCAGAATTTTCTAGAGTTTTTTAAATCTAGTATATATTCACCCCCTCTAGATATGTTGCCATCGTCTAAAACTTTTCAGTAACCACATTACCACCAAGTTTATCTTTAGTTTTAACAACATGTTTAAAATCACCATGAGCGTTGTTAAAGGCCAATTGGTGTATATAACAAATAGTATTTTGTGGCCCTTTCCACTTGGTTTCTTTGGAATTTCCTGGAAAAACCTTAACTTTAGTGTAAATAATTGGTTTTTAGCATTATCATGTAAATATCTTATAGTTTGATCAATTTCTTTCCATTTTGTAGGTTTCCTTGCATGGTTGACGCATTGGGGCCTTAAAAGGTAAAAGAAAGCATCAAGGTGCATTTTTGATGGAAATCAAGAGTTGGAAGTTGGGTTAGCAAGAACAAAGTGTTTAGAGAGTCAGGGGCAGAGGGGTTTCCCCTAAGCGCCCCTTTTCTTCACTTAGCACCGTGTGTGGCGATTTAGGTGTTTTGTACTATTAGTGTGCTAAGTGGGCTCTATTTGGGCTTAGCGTGCTTTGCGCTTTTTAGTTTGGCATAAATGCTTTCTTTTAAACATTTTAAGCAACAATCTTCATTTCTAGAGAAAAACACACCCAAAAACCCAGAAAACCATAATCAATTATTTGGAGCATCAATCTTCCACTTTTCAGCGTTGATGCTTGTGAATCATTTCTCTTATCCTTTGAAGCAAGCTACCGTGATGTGTAGCTAAACCCTCTTGTGTCATGATTAGAGGTATTTAACCAAAATAATATGTATTTCTCTTGAAACTTTGTAAGTGAACAAGTTAATGATCAATATAGATGATTCTCTTTGGTTTTATGTTATATTTTTTATTTCAATCATTATTAAGAAATATGTTTCATGTCTTGACCTAATATTTTCTTCTATCAATAACCAAATGCTATACATATATTTGGAGTTGATATTCACTTGCATCAAAACTTAATGTTTTTATATTGTTTAATAAGTATAGAGATCATCAATTAAATAATACGGTAAAACCTGTAACACCGGTTAATCATAAGCGGTGTTGATGAGTGATACATGATTATATTGATTATGAACAAGTTCACGTGATAGATTATTTTAATATATATATGAAACATGTTAATGAAATTTAATGTTGACATGTCTCTTCAAATGTTTAAAACCTAAATCTTTTACCGTTTTACTTGTCAAATGAAAATAACACTTTTCGCAACAAACACCCTCATGAAACTTAAGTTAAAATCATAGAAACTCTGGAACGGAAGCAGTATCACATAAATCCTCGTGGAGACGATAAACAATACTTTTTAACCCTAAATTCCATTTCATAGAGCATCCACAAACCCTGTTGTTGAAAGTGCAGATTTTCAATGTCCTTCCACAATTATTGTTTATGCTCTAACTTATTGAACGCATAAATTGCAGTCTTCCAACTCAAGAACTTACCATTCACATCATCAATCACACAGTTTATCATTTGGGAATTACTCTTAACTTATTTAACATCCACTTTATTAGTATTCCACTCCATCCACAATCTGCCATTCTCATGGTGATCATAGTTCCCTTTAAGATTCAATTTGTCTATGATCTTCTGAGCTTTATTCCTTTTCACCCTAGTTTCAATTAAAAAAAACAATTACATGGTTAATATTTAGGATAAGCGAGCTAATCTCCCTAATCTTACCAACTTTATTGAGTCCCTCACATTCCATACTATAATTATGGAACCTTGTCAAGGAACACCGTAGATTGGCTTCCTATTGTTTCAAAACCATTTCCACATTTGAATTCGGTTGATGTAGGGTTTTGAGCTTTCCCATTGCTCATATCTCTTCCACTCTTCCCCACCGTCGTCCATATATCATTTTCTTCTGTAAGTGTTCCAGCCTTTTCAAGCCTAGGTATCATAGGTTGAGTTTGATTCTCATCTATTGGAACCTTTACATCTTTCATCTCTTGTTGGATCTCTTTTAGTTTTGGCACCCATTATTTGGCATTTTGTCTATGTTGTTTCTCTTTGCAATGGCGGCAAAATTTGTGGCATTTGATAGAATAGAGAGGCTTGCATCCGTACTCAACATGTTAATTCATCTTAGTCCCTTCCCTAACATTGATGGTGATTTCCTTAACTTGTTGCTGAGTAATTTCTACCTAAACCAAAATTCTAGCATACGAGATTCAATAATTGTCTTACATTCATCCATTACCAGAGGCGTTCTCAAAGCACTTCCAATCTTGCTCAAGCTTCTTTCTCCCACAAGTACAATGGAAGTTGTGGATGCTTAATCCAAATTAGAATCATATGTATCATATCTTTCTTTAAATCAAAATCTGGTTTCCATTCCCTCAATAACATTGACATGTTTCGTATTTTGTAGGGTCCATTCATTAACACAGCATCTCTATCTTGGTACGAATGAAATCTCAAGATGAAATAGCCCTCTTCGTTATAATACATGTTCGACAACTTAGCAAAAATCCATATATTTATCATATTATTGTTTAATAACATGCATACTCAAGTCTCCACCTATCATATACATGATCAAAGTCGTGTACCATAATCTTACCTCATTCACAATGTCGGTTTCTTCAATTTCGACCTCCACTTCTCCGTCAACAAACTTTTGTGCTATAAATTTTTATCGCCATTCCATTTCCAGGATTATGATTTCTTCTAAGCACACCAACCCATAACTTCCTTGGTTCACTATTCTCCTTTTGTTCTTCTAGGGTTTTTGATTCATTAATTTTCTCTTTGATTTCCTCATTTTCTGTATAGTCTTCTTTATCCTTTGAGCACCATTCCTTATCATCGCTTGGTGACGTTGCTGGTGATTCATTTCCCTATTTATGACTCCCTTTACCATTATCTAGAGATGTCGGTGACGGTGACACCACTTTCTTTGGTCGTCCCCATCTTTTCCCAATTCTCTAATAATTTAAATCATATAGATAATATAAATTCATACAAAAAAAGTATTATTATTGACTTTAATTATTAGATAATGATATTAATTTATATTTCTTTAATATACCGATAATATATACATTAGTAGTAAATATTTTTTGAATTAATATATAATCATATTAATATTTTAATTGTACTATTAATTTCTAATATTTTTTAAAATACAACTATGCATATTTAGTTAATATAAAATACAAACATCATTTATAAGACTATTTTATGTTCAAAATTCTATTATAAATATTTCAAATGATTTTATTCAAATTTAAAAGGCTATAAATATATTTTTCCCTAAAATATAACATGATTTAAGTTTCAATATAAATTATATTAACTATAATAAAAGAGGACTATATAAATACATTGAATCTAGTCTATTAGTTTGAATGAATCAAAATTGAATGGTTTTGATTAATTATTCTTATTTCTTATATGGAATCAGAAATCACGATGATTGCGAAAACTATGGAGAACTGGAGTTTTCGATGTAGTACGTTGATGTGATACTGTGGACCAAAGGTGGCGATCATGATGCTACTTGAACCATAGGGGTCGGTCTTGATGCAATGTAATTAATCAGTATGGCTATCTTTGATATGGTGGACCTTAGAGAGCACATGCATGGTTAGCACTCTAACACCCAATTCATTTTAGGGTTCAAGATATTTGGTAGTGAAACTGAAGATTATAGATTGTATACCTTAGAACCCTTCACGAAAGTATTTATACCTATGGCATGACGGAGTAGGCTAGATAACGTGCCTTGTGTTATTGGGTCATTGATCGATGCAGATCATGGAATCCCGGGTCTTTGGGCGGCGTGGAGAAGTGGGTATTGTGTCTTTGGCCAATAAGGAAGAGTTGTCCCCAAGACTTGTTTTCCTATTTGATGTTAGTGGAGTCTTTCACTAGTACTGGTCAGGCTTAAAGAATCTTCATCCAGGCATCGGTTAGCATGTTTCACTTTGGTTTTGCCAAAGCATGATGTGAATGTAAGAATTAAATGTAAACCCATCATTGATATGTTTCGTCCTTTTCTCTTTGATGTGTGACATGAAAAGGTATGGGTTGATGTGATGTAGTTTTTCTTTGACGTGTGACATGAAAATGTATGGGTTGACAACCAATGGAAGTAGCTATTATTAGGTGGCTAAAATAGTTGGAACTCCTTCCGTTTCGAAAACCATTGAAGTTGTAACACAGGCCAACATCATAGTGGGTAAATCCCCATATTGGGATATTCTTCTAGTAGGCATGGATGAGAGAGTATGCATCTCTTTAGAGGGTTTCTTGGTTCCCCTGTTTTAGTGTCTCTTCACTATGTTATGGAAATGTATGCCCTTCTGTTATTTTATGGTGGTTTTAATGAACCATCTAAAAGTTTCCCTATGATAGCTTCATTCTGGAGCTTGAGCTTTCACGGTCGTGTTCCAACTTTGTGTCGGGTACAAGTCTTGAAAACCTTCATTGAGGCTCTTATTTGACCTCTTCTCTGTGGCTCATACTTTGCTGGATGATACTAGGGGTCAAGGATTAATCTCCCTTCTTCCCCAAGTACCTTGGTTCGACTCTTTCGCTTCTGAATATGGGGACTTTCTAGAGTATTTCATATTGGTGAAACCTGTCACTTCTGAGGTGCATATGACATTCTTCTTGTCTTGGGCTCTATTGGGAAATGCACGCTTTTATAGAGGTGGTTTTCAAAAATGTTGGTCCATAGTTCATTTTCAGCGATGTATCCCTTCTTATCAATTTGGGCCAAATTCTCTATGTCTAGAGAAAAAGAAAATGAAAGAGGACTTTCATGCCTAATATTCAGGACTCAAATATGAAGAGGGGTTTTTCTCCTAGCGAAGTGCTTTTCTTTTAGTAAAAGAAAACACAAATAGATACTCGCATGATCATTAGTTCCTCTGAACATTCCAAAAGATAAAAACTCTTTTGTGATGACAGGGATCTGAACACCCTTTTTTTAACCATGCCACTTGTGCTTTCACAAATAACATTAATCAGTTGACTCAGTTTTGGAAATCCCTGGAGTTCATGACTGACCAGAGACTTACTACTAGCTTGTCGTTGCATCTACTTCTATTTTGGAAGCTCAGATTCTTGTTGTGGTGACTAATCTATAAGTAGTTCAAACTAATGTCCCGGTTCTGGCTCCTGAAATAGGTTATCTGGATACTAAAGCAATTGATTTATCTTCAAAGGGACCTTCACCTTCTTCTTTCCTTGCCAAGAGGGTTTGGGTGATAGTCCATCTGCTCCCGTTGAAGGAGGTTCTCTCAAATAGGATCACTTGGTGGAGGGTAACGAGCATGAAGTTCTGACTCATTTCTTTCGACCCCTTGATATTCTACCTTCCCAAATCCCTAACAAGTCATAGGAATTTGTTATTGTTATGGATGCAAAGGGCCTATACTTCGTCTAGGGTTTATCTGCGACTGATAGGAGGAGCCTTTTTACTGATGCTTACCGTACTTTAATCATACTCGGGTCCCTTGGTTCCATAGTAGCTATTGACCAGGATGATATTCTGGGATCTATAGAGAGCTCAAAGGAACAAGATAAGCTGATGGAGAGGTATGAAATCATTGAGCGGAAAAGTTCCAATGCTGAGAAGGAATTGGCCGAGCTATGCGAAAATTCTTATGCTCTTAGCTCTTTATGGGAAAAGGCAGATTAGTATGATCGCTTGGCCATTTTTACTGCTCAAATAGAGAGGTTAAAGGCCTCTCTTACTGATGGGAAGAATTATTGTAAGAATTTTTATAAAGATTCTATTGAGGTGTGTCATAATAAGTAGGATGACCAAGCCAATGCTTTGAAGGCTCTCAAGGAAGAAGTGGGTATTGTTAGAACATAGTTTGGTTCTACATCTTTGTAATAGTTTTGATGATAACAAATACATGATATATATATAGATATATATATAAATAATGAATATGTTCTCTAACTATATATTTAAATATTCAGAGAAATTGTGATAAAAAGTGCATAGAATATGATGAGAGATTTACGTTTTGAAGTTCTAATTAGACACAACGTACAAACTTAGAAGAAATTATGTGTAACACGCTAATAGAAGAAGTCTTGATGTTATAACTTTTGAAGCACCAAATTCTACAAGTAAGATTCTAATACTCTGATAAAAGAAGCTCTGGAAGAAAAAAAGAAGTCTAAAGGCTTTCATCTATATAAAAGGCTCTAAAGTTTAGCACTTAAACTTAAGCTACACTTTGATAAGTAAATACTCTAATAAATACAAAGAAGCTTCATCATGTCTATATCATCCAAGTTATAATAATATGAATATCAATAATCTCTGAGGATCTAAAGTCACAACTTTAATATTCTCATTCTAATAAGATCTCAAGGAATCAAAGTTCTAATGCGTTAGAATTTATTCATTACAAATAAAAGAGTAACGGCTGAACCAAGACAAGATCTGTATTTTTGGAAAGTTCATTAACAACACTTTATCAACCTTCCAAATACATCTTCTCATGTCCCCTACGCCTCGTTTATAAAAATAAGAATATGAAGAAAAATCATAGACAACACTACTTTGCATTCAAAAATAATCATCTTTACCAGTTTTATCGTGTGCTTTAACCTTGTGTATACATCACTGATATGATATAGTTTTGTTTAGAAACATTATTTGTACATATCCTTATTTTATTTTATTTTGTAATACCTTGAGAAACTAAGTTGTGGTTTAGAATTAAGAAGACATTGACGGTAGTTATTATGTTGTGTAATCAAGTTTTGATTAGTGGATTAAGGTCTCGCTTAGAGAGGCGAAATCACCTTGGCGGGTGGAACAAAGTAGTTTGAGTTTAAACGAACCAGGATAACCAACATTTCATACTATTTTATTTTTGAAAACCCAAATTCAAACCCTCCTTTCTTGTGTTTTTCTATCCTTCAATTGGTATCAGAGCGCCTGGTTCTGGATACAAACACTTAACCGTGTCAGAAAAAGATTCTAGTAAGAAAAACACTATGGTGGGACCAAGTCAGATCATCAGCAATGATAATCATGATAAGAAAGACAAAATCAGTGGCAAACCTCCAATCTTTGATGCTGAGAACTTCGATTACTAGAAAGACAGAACTGAAAGTTTCTTTCTAACTCATGATGTTGATCTCTAGGATATGGTAACCGACAACTACATCCATCCAGTTGACAAAAGCTATCAAAAGATCTATACAAAGAGAATGACAAATCAACAAAATATTTCAGAAATCATCACAAGGCCAGAACAATTCTCTTGAGTTCTATCTCGTACACCGAATATGGGAAAATCACAAATAGAGAATCATCTAAAAACATTTTTGACTCTCTGAGAATGATGCATGAAGGAAACACACAGGTCAAAGAAACCAAAGCTTTTGCACTCATTCATAAGTATGAAGCATTCAAAATGGAAGAAGATGAAATAGTTGAGACAATGTTCTCAAGGTTTCAAATCCTAGTTGTTGGGCTAAATGTTCTGAACAAAGGGTACTCAACAGTAGATCATGTAAAGAAAATCATTAAAAGCTTACCTAAGAATTGGAGAACCATGGTCACAGTCTTAAAACTAGCCAAAGATCTGAATAAAATATCTCTTGAAGAAATTATCATCTCCTTGAGAAGTCACGAGATAGAACTAGAAGAAGATGAGCCCCAAAAGCAAGGTAAGTCTCTTTCTCTTAAATCTAATAAAAAATATGAACCTAAATTTTTTCAAGCAAAAGAAGAAAACTCTGGTGAATCCTCGTCCGAAGAAGACGAAATATCTCCTCTCTCTAGAAGAGTCAATCAACTATGGAAGCACATACAAAGGAAATTTAGAAACACCATAAGAACATGAAATCACTCTGAATCATCTTCTGGATACATTAAATCTAGCAACAAAGATATTGTATGCTACGAATGCAATGAACCAAGTCACTACCAAAGCAATTATCCAAATATTCAGAAAGAGAAGCCTAAAAAAAAGTTCTCCAGAGAAAAGAAGAAAAGTCTTATGGTAGCGTGGGATGACTCGGAATCTTCTGAAGCTGAAACAAAATCAAAAGATGAACAAGCCAATATATCCTTAATGGCCAACATATCAGATGACATTGGATCATCTGAATCAGAATCAGACTCAGAAGTAGAATAGGTATTCTCTAACTTTTGTAGATCTCAATTAGAAGATAGTCTGTTGAAAATTCTTGAAAGATATCACCAACATCGAGTCAAAAACAAGAACCTGAAACACGGTCTAGTATTTAACTCTGAATAAACTAATAAACTAAAAACAAAAAACTCTGATCTAAAAGAAACCATCTTTAAACTTAAAAATGAAAACTATGTTATTAAAAATAAATTACAAAAACCTCAGAAAAAACAGTGTCACAAGTTTCGAATAGTTCTGATAAAATCATAAAAGAATATGATCATATCTTTCAAAAATTTATAACTAAGAACATAGATAGAAGCAAGATGGCTTCAATGATCTATGGAGTTAGCAGGATATGTGAAACCAAGGGGAGAAGAAACATATCAACCAAAGAAAGTTGATGATATAGTTATAAAGCACACACCTCTATATTCACACTTTACATAAGTACATTCACATGATATAAAATATACTAGCAATTCTCACTTTTTGAAACCAAAATTCAAACAGAATTTTGGAAAATCTAACAAACAAGGACCCAAAAACATATGGGTACCTAAGAATAAAACCATCTATATTGCAAATGTCTATAACAGAAAAGTTGAAACACCAATATTGGTACCTGGATTTTGGATGTTCTCGACACATGACAGGAAGAAAGTATATGTTCCAAAGTCGGGAACTTAAATCTTAAGGCTATGTAGGTATCGGAGGCAATTAGAAAGGAAAGTTTATTGGCTCTGGAACCATTGGTCACTGTACACTTCCCTCTATAACTAATGTTATTTTAGTAGATGGATTAATGCATAACGTGTAATCTATAAGTCAATTAAGTGATAACGGTTATGATATAATCTTTAATCAAAAGTCATGTAAAGCAATTAGTCAGAAAGATAGAACTATCCTCTTTAATGGTAAGAGAAAGAACAACATTTATAAAATTAAACTTTATGAACTAAAGAGTCAGAATGTAAAATTCCTTTTGTCTATTAACGATGAACAATGGGCCTGACACAGAAGATTGGGGCATGTTAGGATGAAAAGAATATATCTAATTAACAAACTCAATCTGGTCATAGGACTTCCTAACTAAAAGTTCAGCTCAGATGCTCTGTGTGAAGCATGTCAAAAAGGAATGTTTGCAAAACCTTCTTTCAAATCAAAAAATATAGTTTCTACCTCTAGACCATTAGAACTTCTACATATAGACATGTTTGGACCAGTGAAAAATACATCCATCAGCGGCAAGAAGTATGGATTAGTGATGTTAGATGACAATATCAGATGGACATGGGTAAAGTCCTTAAGACACGAGGAAGAGTCAGACTCTGTGTTCTCTACTTTGTGTAACCAAGTCCAAATCGAAAAAGAATTTAGAAATGTTAAAGTTAAAAGTGATCATGGTGGGGATTTCGAAAACAAAATATTTGAAAACTTTTTTAATGGGAATGACATCTCTCATGCTTTCTCTTGTCCTAAAACTCCTCAACAAAACAAAATTTCAGAATGAAAGAATATAACTTTACAAGAAATGGACAAAACCATGATTAACGAGACTAACATTGCTAAAAACTTCTGGGCAGAAGCAGTTAACACAACATGTTATATTCATAATAGAATCTCAATAAGACCTATTATGGAAAAGACGCCATATGAACTATGAAAGAACAGAAATCCCAACATCTCTTATTTCCCTCCATTTGGATGTATTCATTTTATATAATCACTAAAGAACATTTGAACAAGGTTAATTATAATGCACAAAAGTGTCTCATGTTAGGATACTTTGAACGCTCAAAAGGTTATAGAGTATATAACACAGATACACAAATTGTGGAAGAATCTGTTAGTGTGAGATTTGATGATAAGTTTGGCTCTCAAAAGTCAAAGCAGGGTAAAACTTTTGCAAATATAGAATTTCAAATTACAGGTACTGAAGACAGACCGTCAGAAAATAAAAATACATAAGTTCAGCCTAATATAGAAGAAGATGTCACAAATATTACAATAGTAGCTTAGCACATCCGAAAAAAATGATTTTGGGAAAGAAAGTTTACCCAATCAGAACAAGATCTACATTCAGAAATTCTGAAGAATCGCTCATGGGATTAGTATCTCTAATCAAGCAAACCTCCATTGAAGAAGCACTTCTAGACAATGATTGGATCCTTGCAATGTAGGAAGAACTAAATCAATTTACCAGAAACAATGTGTGGGATCTAGTCCCTAATCCAAAATGCTTCAACATTATTGGAACCAAATGGATCTTCAGAAACAAGCTAAACGAACAAGGAGAAGTCTTCGAAAACAAAGCACAACTAGTTGCACAAGGTTATAGTCAGCAAGAAGGGATAAACTATACAAAAACCTTTTCTCCAATCGCTAGGTTAGAATCTATCATACTTTTAATTTCTTGGCAAAATACCCTTTTTGGTCCTTTAAGTTTACCCCAAGGTCCATTTTGGTCCTTTATCTAAAAAAAGTGTCAAACTGGTCCTATAATTCTTTCAAAAGGACCATAGGAGTCCTT